ATTATCAAGAGAACTTAGCATCTACTTAGGTGTCTAAGTTTCTTTAAAGAAAGTGCTGAGCAGATCACTTCAGGATGCTTTCCACCAACTATCAACATCTGATAAGCTAAACTCTTTCAAAAATTAGGTACTAAACTACTAGCACAGCTGAGGGGAACTAGGCTTGGGGAAAGGCTGTGTAGCATAAAACAAACTAATCAAAGCAAGAGGAAAAATTATGTACCTTGAGTGATGCCTCTGACTTGTGCCAGTGTTTCCTGGAAATGCTCTATACTACGTATTTCAGTCTCTCCATCCAATATCTATCTTTAACATTCTCACAAATGCTCAAAGCTGTTTTTGTCCAGTGACAGCATCCATAACACAGCGAGCTGTAACCTTGCAAAGACTTTAGCATGTACATAAAGCTAAGCACAGCCTCCGAGCCTTTAGTAAGACTTCTCACTACGTGTAAAATACATTCATAGGTCTTATCAGGATGGTGGCCAAAGATTATAGAGGCATCCAAGCTGGCTGATATAGTCAAGCCTGTTCTGTGGCACGTCTATTTTAAACTTGGGTCTTCTGGTTTGTATCTTAAAAGGTCTACATGTCTTAACTGATCTGCAGAACAAATTAACTTTGCAAAGTAAAAACAGTTTAGCCTTGATAAATGAATACGAACACAAAAGAGCAACTCGCCGTGGTTCACATACATCTGTAGTCACCACAAAAAAGGCAAGGAATTGACTAAATAGTTCCTAACCAAGCAAATAGCTTTACCAGCAAAACACAAAAAATTGCCTGTGAAAGTAATCACTAGGATGCCAACACACAGGCAAGACAAAAACTTTATTAACTGGGTATCATATAATAATTGTAACCATAACTATAATTACTTAATTATCTAATTGGACAGAAAACCCTTTTTAATGAATAATTCTATTCTCATTTCAATGGTATTTTTCTCAGCATTCCTTAAGAATTAAAACTTGTTAAAAATTGTTCTAGGTTATAAAACAAATACAGCCACATATTATAGACAACAGTACCACTACAAAGGCATTTACAGGCATTTTCTTTTCACTTCTGCTTTTTTTTTTTTAATTTTAGGAGAAAGAAACAAAAACTCTTCACTCCATTAATGAAGAATAAGCAATATCAGAACAACTTAAGGGGCAGCGCCTGACTGCTAACAAACTGGCAAGGATATCTCTAACAAGCTAATTTATAACCAGGGATATTTTAACTCATTTCACAACACTTGTAAAAATAAAATTAGTTATATAATAGGATAATTTTATATGTTTATTTGCTAAATTTAAGTCCAGGGAAAATTTAATTCAAGAAATAAAACAGTAGTTAGATGCTCAGGTTGTTTAAGTTGCCAGAGCTCCAGCAAAAACAGAGCTGTGAGAGTTTACATTAGCTGGCAATTTGCTCCTCGAAATGTGTCATTAACTCAGGAGGCTTTAAATATAGTTCTCATGATTTAAAGGACTTCAAAAAGATGCCGAAACCGCGAAATTTAGAAAGAACTCTGATGAACTGTTATATAAATATGGATAAGACAGAAAAGAGGAAAATGGGGGACAGAGGAATCAAACTGATTGGAAAAGGATGGGACAATTTTTAAGTAAGTGTTTAACTACTGAATCAAGACTTTCATTAAGCTCTGTGCAGAATGGCCACCTCCCAAGAAATGGCAAAGAAAGGAAATATCATTAGAAAGCTTTGTGACTTTGTGAGCCCACCCTTACATTCAAGGCAGTAAACTGTTGTACTATATTGTTGAGCAGGATGTAAAGAGCCTGCCAAGCACAGCCCACAGACCTGCTAATTAAGTGAACTGATTGTGTTTGTTTTGGAATCGTTTGCCAACAAAGGAATGTGTCATGCTGATTAGCGAGAGAAGGATATGTAATATATGTGTATTCAAACCCTGAGGAGTGCATAACCCAGGTATTCACTCTGTTTGTTCAACGACTGACAAAAATTACTCTCAAGCAAATAACCTGACCAAAGAGAAACTCCAGCCCTCAAGAGGGGCCCTTCTTTTCTCTCAGCTCTGTCTATCTAAAGAAGACCCATCCTTCATAAATTCCTACTGAAGACTGCTCCAGAAACTGCTGAGAATATTCTGGAGACAAAAAACCTCTCCACCTCAAAGCTGACCTAAGAGACCATGAAGATGGAAAGGTAACACCCAGCTGAGAACCACCTTGGAATTGTAACGGCCCCTCTGACAGCTGTCACTCTTCTCTCTGAAGAGTAAGAAAGGTCAGGGAGATAGCCAGAAAAACAAATCCCAGCTCAACAGAGACACATCCCCCCCACACAGACAGACTTCACTTTTCAAACTTTCAACAGAGAGGTAAAGTTTGCAAAAGCCGTCATACACCCACTTTCAAATATTTCTAACCTAACAGCCCAGTTTGCTCGTAGAATTAGTAGCATGCTCAAAAGTGAATGAGCAACATTCAAAAGCAAGAGGGAAAAACATGGTCTTCAGAGCTCAGCTGCTCTTCCCTCCTTAACTTGGGAGCTAAAGCCAGGGTACCTGGCAGTGTAGGATTAAGCACTAAGTGTGAATACTATGCTGTAAACAGCAATTCCAGAAAACCAGGATGGAGAAAGGGAATCATAGTCAATTCTCAGTGCACACTGTGGACTCACAATAGTACAACTAAATCACAAATCTGAGCTAACTGTTTACTCAGAGCTCTGTATCACACTTAACTAACAGGGAAAGCTGAACACATGTCCTGGTTTTGCTAGGACAGAGTTAATGTTCTTCTCAGTAGTTAGAATAGCTGTGTTTTGGTTTCAGTGCAAGACTTGATATGAGAACATCAGTGAAACTATCACAACACATCAACAGAAATTTCAGGTATAACTGCAAGTCTTCACACAAACATTTTGTGACTTGCCATTCCATCTGTCACAGGTTATTCTGTATATTACCTATTTCTAACTAGCCTCCTCATCTTACATCTGTCATTGTAGTGGTCAGCAGACCTACCTCAGAAATCTCTCTCATCTGTAAGAGATGGAAACAAACACAAACCCTCTCTTCCTGGCCTTCTCCCTCACTGCTTTGCAGCTGACGGAGCTGCACAGTAAAACACACAAGCTCCTCTGTTGGCATGACTCACCTCCAGCCTGAGGGTGGAAAAGAGCAAAAATATGGAACTGAAATAATCTGGTTAGTGTCACAGAGGTGCATGTGCACACATGAGCAGTAATGAGATGAGAAAACTAACTAGGAAGGGAAATGGAAAATGCTTGGGATAAAAGCAAGGTTTAGTGATAAGGAGTACAAAAGGAGTAAGTAGAATGACCTCTGACAAAATAAGAAAGAGAAATATTGGAGAACCTTTCATGCTGATTGTGTTTTAATTAAAATAATTAACAAAGACCGCTGTCTTTGGCATAACATCAACCACTACTTCACATTTGTGAAACATGAACAAAAGTCCTTTCTGGCTTCCAATTCACATAAAAACAGGAGCTAAAGCAGCTTCTTTTGGCTTTCACTGAACTGATGACAAATACTATTTGATTCCAGAATGTTTTAAACTCTATAATTGCAAGGCATCTCAGCTGAAGGGCGGGGGAATAATATACACAATTTTTTTGTGTATATTATGTTTTTGTGACCAAAAATCCCCCAGACAAATCAAATGCACAGACACTTCAAGTAAACTTGTCTTCCAAAATGCTCTTACATGTCCTCATCAGTCTTTTGGGACTATCTTCAAATGACTTTTATACAGTCTCAACAGACATCTTACGTTTTATATCATCTCAGTCTCCCTCTTTTTAACTCAGCCTATCTCACCATGCACTCTAAATACATTCTTTCTTGAAAACTTTTTATAGAGCTCAGCTGCACACCTTGTTTAGCTTATGTCCACTGCTTTGTCAATGCATTTTTTAGAATGAGAGTCTGGAAAAAGAATGTGCAAACAGTCTTTCAAACTCAGGTCAGGCTGAAAATCCCCAAAGAGTAGTCCTTGGTTACTTGTAATTTAACATCTTTGTACACACAGGGGAATCAGATTCTTAACTAAGCCCTTTTTAACAGGCAGTCCTGATTGTTTCCAAAGGTGGCTCTTCAGTTTTTTTTCCCTTCAATGGAACACTTTGGAGAAAAAATTAAAATGATTGTATTTGAAACAGCCAGAGAAGTACTTATCTGCAGAGGAATGCTGTGCTGTCAGATATACTGTCTTTCTGTTGAGTTAAAAAAAAACAAACCAGACAAACAACAAAAAACCCCCTCCCTTATTCAAAATCCAAGGCAGTTTTCAAAAAGAGTAGTAACACTACTGCGTTGCCAAGTCTGCTCTGGTTTCCTGCATTTTGCTTCTAGGTTTTCCATGCAACTCCTGTCCCTGATCTGGCATCCAGTACTCCATATAGTGTGAAATAAAGGTTCTTTTGTTTAGCTTAGGACTGGCATACACTTATATATATTTTGTAGCCACTTGAGAATAGCAATGTCATTTAAAAAAAATAATAATAATCCTGTATACATAGGCACAGATGAGTACACACACAGAAAGCAGAGAATTAGCCATAACATCTCACGTGGAAAACAATTCAGAATAGATGGTTATTGTTTTATAATGGATAATCCCAGTACATCATGGGCCCAGTGACATAAGATACCAGAAAGATGTCTGTGATCACTCCAGAGAATCCATTTAGCTTTTCAGTACACTTTTAAACTCAGAAAAGCTTTGGATAAATCACACTGTGTGATGCTACTGGAGACAGCTGTTCTGAGACTTAGAATCATAGAATGGTTAGGGTTGGAACTTACAGGGCTTTGGGAAGTAGCTCTTCCCATCTATTTCCAAGTCTGCTCGTGGTGGCCTCCCTGGATCAGTAATCTAGTGTAGCTGCCCAGAAATGTTCATTAGTGGGATCCAGTCCCTAGTTATTTAAATAAGAGGTAATGAGGCTGAGAATCCACAAGGATATGTGAGCTAAATGGATGACTGACATTATGGTACCTGCTTGTAGAAATGTCCTCGAAGGGGTAAAGGATTTCTCCATTGTTGCAAATCTCACAGATGAAACCCTTTTGACTACAAAGGCTGCAGCTGTACACATGAGAGGTGGCAAACTTAATCACTTTCCCCAAGAAAGGAGCCAGTTTTCCTTCAATAACCTGAAATGAGAAGAAGACAACATTGAATGAACCCCTCAAAAATTTTTAGAACTCCTTGAAGGACTGAGACAATATTTATTAATACAGAAGTGCAGCTAAGTGTTGCTGGTTAAAACAACAAGAAAGTTTCTTCCCAACAACTAATAGTGCCAGAAAGTCACAAGTGATAATAGTAGCCAATGAACTGGCAATGATCCAAACATAAAAACAAAGTTACTACCTCTCTGTAAGTCTCTATACAGCAATAACACACAAGATTAGTAGTCATTTTAAGTACAACAATGCATTCACACACTAAGGCACAGAAAAGTAGATAGATGATAATATGAAAGCCTTAAATTAACTGATAGCTATGGATACTGCCTTACATTATGATTTTAATTTCTTGTTATTTTTAGGCACAAATTGCAGATTTGTCTTTGTTCCTTTTCCTCCAAAGCACAAGTTTTTTGCATATTTGTGTTTCTTACTGAGAACCATTAAAACACAATATTCCTCTCATTACCAAAATGAATAAATTCTAAGATAAATTCTTGAATTGGGATTGTGTTTTCTTCCTTCAGTGTCCAGCTCTCAAATCAAGAAGTCCCTCAAGGCGCAACAATCCTGCTAGACCATTAGAAGTGATTAGCACTCTCTGTGTTGGTATGAAAAAACGCCCATGCAGTATAGATTAAACTGCCAGCCACAACAGTCATCTAAATTTGTGACTCCATGACAATACCTCAATAAGGGGTGCTATTCAGGCAAAATACTTTCCATTCAGATCAAGCTTCCAGAGACTTTAAGGAATTCTGCTGGTGTAGGGTATAATGAAGATGGAATAAGGCCCTAAGTGCATATTCTTCCCTCCTGGGCTTCCTGTGGTCTGAATGGCAGCCTGCCAGATTAGTGATAGAAATGTGTCATGGGATTTGATAGTGACCTCCTAGAAAAAGGAAAAAGAATGCAATAATTGCTGATTGAAGGCTTGCAGGGGGCTGTGCCCTGAAACTTAAGAGTGGAGAGATTTACACTTAAATGTGTGCCAGATTCAGTTCAGGTACCCCTTCCCTCAATATGGTAACACATCACTTGCAATTTGGGTTTAGTGTAAACGAATCTAGAGAAAGCAAAAGTTAAGGCAGAGAAGAACAACAGAGATTTTGGAAGCATTCCTTCTCTATGTAAAAGTAGAAAGGAAATAAATTTGTGTTCCAGGGCAACTTCCTGCCTTCTAGCTGAGATAGCTACTATTAAAGTGCTCATGTGGAAAAGAAGGTGCACAGGTAGCGTTGATGTTGATGGCATTGAATGGCATGGGCTGAAATGTGCCTCCTCTTTGCTTTCAGCTCTAGCCTGCTAACAACATCTGCAACAACAGGAAGCAGCAATGTTATTGCTAGTACTGCAGATAGGACATCTGCTCATGTTAGAGGAAAAACGACGTTCCTATTGCATCCTGGTATAGGAAGATCCCCTTTGACTAGAATATAAACAACGTAAAGAAGCTGCTGCATGAAATACAAAAAAGAAGCCACAGTTCAAGGGAGTGATATTACTAACCTTCTAACTGATGGGCAGAAGTTAGTTTAGTTCCTCTAGGCTGGGTTTGTTTTTAGTTTTAAAGGAAGAAATTTTTTACTTGCAGACTCCAGAGCTACAGAGTCTGAAAGCCAAACAATTTGGGAGTAGGGGAAAGACACAAAAGCTGATAGCATTCAGTAATCAGAAGGAAAGAAACAGCGAAGCCACACAGCTAGTGACATGGCTATAATCACCCTGCAAAAAGCCACTTAGCACTAATAGATGAAATACACAAAGATAATAAATAAATCACGATGTGTACATATTTTCCAAAGCATTTTCACGCTACAGCAACCACCTCTGACAGGCCACAAAATAGTTCAACTTAAAATGCCAGGCTGAAGACAAGAGCTGCAAAGTCTGTACCAATGCCACTGTTAGCAAGGACTTAAAAGTTAAATCTTTGAATTAAAATTACATTTTATATAATGTAATAAACAAAATTAACATAATCTATTACCTTCCTAAGCATCAGGGGTGAATTTAAGTCTCTACAAGGCACAAAAGGTTTCCTATGAGCTCACAACCTAAGCAAGACAGATTGAGAGTGGGCAGTTGCCCCCAAGGAGCTGGTGTTATTTGCCCCTGTTTATTTTTTTATTTGAATGGCTCACTGTAACACTGCAGTGGGTTGGCTTGTAACTCTGGCCACTGCAGACATACAATGAAGATGATATCTTCAAAGAGCCATGCATGCAATTTTGCAATGTGAATTACAGGCTATTTTACTGCATTATAGGAAGAAGACAAAATGCAACATCAAACTGATGTTATCACTATTTTTAGCATCTGCAAATTTTGTGTCATTTTGGTTCATCAGAGACCTCAAGGTTGTGTACAGGATATGACTTTTCCTTGCAGCCTTCTCTCATTTGTGTTTGTAGCTAATAACAATAAAATCCTCATCTCCTTTTACCCTGGCAAGAAAAAAGGAAGATTTCTACTTGCTGTGCCCAAGAGGAGATTCAAGGTAACACTTTCCCAAGTGAGTGTTTCATGGCTTGGGAAAAGGAGCATAGGACATATAACCAAAGGTGTCAAAACATCTCCCGTGACTCTCCTGCGACAGCTGGAGGCCCAGTGTCAGTCAGTTTAGACATCCCAGAACCACAATGGCAGAGCCCCAGGATGTTCTCCCAGCTGATGCTGGAATTTGATCTTGAGTTTCAAGGGAACACAAGCGATTAAAGAACAGAAGTGTGTTGAACAAATGTAATGCATTACCCAGATATCAGGGAAATCATGGGAGGGTGACAACCTCAAAAGGCTGCCTTGGCAGAGCTAGTAACATCTATGTCATTCTTCACAGCCGTATCTGTTACTAAAGCCTTACAGTGATGGAGACTGCACAGCCGCCATGCACTCTAACCCAGCACATGCATGTTCTCACTGTTGGAGTCACTCCTAAGCTTTGACCTGAACCTTTCCCTAAGGACATTTCAGTTTACAAAATAAGCTTACAAAATAGAGAAACTGTGAAATGACACATTATGAACTACAGAACAGTCTATCACATTTCATAAGAAATGTGGAAATTCAGCACAGAACTAAGTAAAGAGTACGTCAAAGGATCAGAAACCAAAAATTTAATCACTGACTTATCCCTGTAACATAATACAGCCTCAGCATGCACATGCAAAGACTTAAAAATATACTGCGGCTTCAAAAAAGAAAAAAAGTATAAAGCTTAAAACAAATTAAAATCTTGCTGAGTTCAGATTCTCTTCTACCTTCAGCACACATGAAGAGCAAGGTCTGTTTTCTAATCCAAATTCTTTGTAGTGCAAGCAATTGTTTCATTGTCCAAAATTAAGAGAGAAAAGTGACTGATGATGGCATCCTGGTCATCAATTGATGTAGAGTGCAGTGCAGCTTTCTCTTCCTAAACTGGTCAAGCAGCCCATCCCAAAAGGATTCTGGACACAGGGCCATGCTCTTACAGTTAGCTTACCACTGCTGCATCTGGCGTATATTGAGGTACGCTGGTTAGTGACAACAGGAGGAAAATACTCGTGTTCAGAGGCTGAAAACAAGTTGTGTCTCTGAATAGCCTCAGCGTTCAGATCAGAATCACTGTCCACTGCTGTGCATCTGGAAAAACACTTCTCTAAGCTACCACAGGACAGAAAGCTGTGGCTTCGCATACTGCAGCTCCTAACTGCGTGTCTCACATGAGGAACTGTACAAAAATATACACCCACATGTATAAAAATACACACCCACATATACACACATAAAAGACAGGCCCTGCCCTGCACTTAGAATTTAAACCAACAAAACTAAAACTGCCTTTTACACTAACTGCCACATATCTCCCACTCTAAACTGTGGGACAAACTGTGCTTAGAAGGAACCTCCCAGACAGGCTCCCTGCCCACATTGCCAAGAGCATCCCTCTGGCCAGAGCACAGCTGCAGGTGCCAGGGCTGCTGGGGAGGGGTGAAGCCAGGAGAACCAGGACCAGCAACCCGCCCTGCTGCCCAGTCGCCTGCAGCCAGCTCGGGAAAGCTGAGGTGGTGCTGGCAAGCAACAAGGGAAGGCAGAGACTTGCCTGCAGCAGTGGGAGAAACTAAGGGTGCACACAGTACCTGAACATATGCTAAATGGGTGTCGGGACAATTATTTTAGATTATTTCTAGAACAGAGGCTTTTCATACAAGTCAAAGTTGTAAATAAAGGTAAATCAAACCTTCTTCTCTGTGTATCTTTGTGTTACTGTTCAGTTTGGATGGCGGGAAGACATGACACACATGCACTGGGTTATGGTTTTCCTGATTC